ACACACACACAGACACACACACACACACACACACACAGTGGCAGCAGTAGCCAGGCCAGAGCTAGTGCAGCTGTGACCAGAACAATAGCATTCCTCTGGTTTTAAACGCCTGGCACTTAGATTCCTAACAGTCAAATTCCTGGCGGGGAGAAGCTGGGGGTTGCTATAGGATGCCGAGAGCTGTAAGACGCCTTGTAAGGAGACGTGCAGCTGTAAAGCCCTGTGTGATTTGTGCTTTTTATGAGAAGGATGGAGGGATTCATGGAGACGAGGGAGGGGGAGCTCTGTTGTTCCACCTCACGTCCTCTTTTCTTTTTTTTTTTTTCTTACATGTGACATTTTCAACACTCTAATTCTGGCAGTTTAGGTCGAGAGGCGTCCCGCTGCTTTTGTCGGGGCATCATGCGTCAAAAGAGGCACCTGTTAAGTCAACATGTGTGTCTTGTAATGCGTTTTTTCGGCACATGCGGTGCTGAAAACTACACAGATGTGTGGAAACTGACATGTTAGTTTTAAGAGTGTTAAATGAGGCGTTAACAAAGGAAACAAACAAGGAAATGTCATGTATGACAACCAGGGAGAGTCTCTCTTTCAAAATAAGAGACATTAGATCAAGCTAGATCATTTTATCTTGCAGAAAAAAAGCAGAACAACGAATGTTTGCACAAAAAAAACTCTTCTTTTGTTTTTGTTAGTGGACTGTGACATTTTTATTAAATATTTCAATCAGGATTTTTATGAGCCGTCTCTAAGAGCTTTTATCAAGAACACCCTCATTTAAAATCCCCTGAACAGTGATTTTTTTGCAGTGTTAGTAGCTGTCAAAGGCCTCGTCTCTCTGCTTTTCACATCATGTGTGCCTCCTCTGGTGGCTTCTCTCCACACAGCACCGAGCTGTCAAACTATCAGCCCATCTGAAATAACCCCAAAAATAATGATTCTCTCATTAACCACGCCTGTTTCACAATTTAAATATAAATGAATCTAATTTAGAAAACCTCGGCCCCGATGAAGGGGACTCATTTAGAGCCAATCTAAAATTAATGAGGGCATCTGGAGAGAGGGAGAGAGAGAGAGAGAGAGAGTGAGAGGAGAGGGGCCCAGCGTGGCTGAACAGATACCAGAGTTAACAAGCTACTGTACTTTAAACAGCAGAAAATCCCCATTAATTTTAAAGTTAACGCACTACTGTACTCTGCATGGCAGAGAAAGAGGCTTTAATGTAAGTTCAAACACATTACAGCGACATCCTCACTTTGACTCCTGACCTCCAGCTGTCAGACCTCCTTTATGTTGTCTTAAGCTCACATTTATCAGCTGGTCGTACAAAATTATAATTTACTGGACTTTTTTTTTTTTTTTTTTTAACACAGCTGCACACCACTGAGGAGGTTTGAGCCTGGAATATATTAGTGCTCCCAGATCTGCGTTTTGGCGCATTATAATGTTACATTAGTATTTGGCGTCTTATCACTCGATTCAGTCATTTCAGCAGAAAAATCGTCAAACTTGTTTCAGTTTAAAGACCGCTTTTTGAGGTTTTGCTGTTTTTATTTGTAATGTCTGATATTTGAAACTGGATTTCTAGGTTTTAGACTCATAAAGGAAACATTTTAAAGACCTCACTGTAATCCCTAATAAGGATTTATCATAAAATTTGGAAAAAAATTTGGACCAAAGTGTTTTCGACTTATAGAAAGCAGTTACAGATTGAGTCGTGTGGGCTAAGTATTGTTTTGGTTATTTAATGCACTGTGAAGCACTTTATAAATAAAGTTTGACTTGATTTAAACACGATTAAAGACAGTTGTCAACCTGAGCCCTATACTTGCTTTTAGTTATGCCAGGAATAAATTCAGATCACATGACATGGCAAGATGGCGGCGACCTGAGTACACGTTGAGTTTGTTGAGCAAACTTTTGCAAAAGCTGAAAGAACAACAACAAAAAACAAGCAAAAATCGTTACTTTTCTAACAAAACAAGGACAAAGGCTGCCGGCAAATATGGCTCATAGGAAAAACGCCGACGACATTGAGGAGATCAGACGATCGCTGAACCAAATGACAGGTGACTTAGCTACTGTTGTTAAGCAGCAGAAGTTGGATCTATTTTGATCCTAAATTAAATTACATGCTTCTTGTTTCCTCTGGTTGCTGCTCCTTTTCGTTCTCTTCTTGCTTTGCTTTTACTTTGGAATGCTCAGCTAGTCAAACCTACTCGTTACACATACTGAGTAACTAAACTAATTTTGGTAAAACTTAAGTAGGATAGGCATCAACAAGCTTCGAGCTTCTGCCTATTCCTTTTGATCACCAAACAGTGTTACAGAGTGTTACAGACTGCTTTTTTGTATATGTATGATTGTATTTGACACTGTGATGATGATCAAATAAACTAAACTAAACTAAACTAAACTAAACTAAACTAAAGTTTTGTTAATTTTTGGGGGTTAAAAGACAGACAGCAGTCCTCACATCTGAACATTTTAGGTCTTTTACCTTTTCTTTTGATAACCAAAAACAAACAAAAAGAAAAATTTCCCACCTTATTTGAGTTACAGTTCAACATATCATTTGCATAAGATTCAGTTTTTGTACTCTTTGAAAAGTGGATTATTTTCGTCATTGAGCAGCCTGCAGCCCATCGAGTAGCCCCAGCAGATGCCAGCCGGCTCCCACAGTGACTGTTTGGTTTTGCAGGTTTAATTCCCGATGGGTTTGGGTCCAGAGTGATTAGGCTGAGCCCTAAAGGCCAGCGGGCTTGTCAGGTGTCTCCACACATTAACGTTGTTCTGCTCACACCCTGAGCCGACAGCACAGCGAGGCAGAAGGGGGAAAGAGAAACACTGATCTGGCGTGGTGGGAGGCACACAGGGATGGAGAGAGACACTTGTATTGTTCATCTTTCATAAAAGATTTGAAAAAGTTTTCCTCAAATTCTTTTGGGAACAAGTTCACCATCTGACATCCAGGATACAGGAGGTCATCAGTGACAGGTTTGAGGTTAAATAATAACCAACAGGGTTTGTTTTCTTACATCTTTGGGAAATGAGAAACCAGCAGGGTCGATAAGTCTTCATGATATCAAACAAAATGTGCTCAAACAAATCTTAAAGTGTGTATTTAACCCATAACCGACAGATTTAGTCTGCTCGTTGGTCTTGTGTCCCTCCTGAATTCAAGTTAAACAAATAAAACTGTTTTTTCATCATCATTAAATTAGCACCATTAAATCAGAGGCTCGCCCATAAAAGTAAAAGAAAAGTTTAAAAAAAATTCTCAACATAATTTTTCAGACTTTTTTTTCATGTTTATTGTGAAAGGTTGTGAAACTGCCATTAATGCAGCTCTATCAGTTACTCGTTTTAAGTTAAAGCGTCAAAGTAAAACAAGAAAACAAAAACTTTGGATTTATATTCACAAAGAAAAGAGTGATGATTAAGAAGACAGTCTAATCCACATAACCACCCATTCACAATACATGACCCTACTTATTACCCGACTGACAACCCTTACTGTTAAATGATCTACACCTTTGAGACAGGTTGTTGCTCCTCACTCTGCTCTCACATCTTTGCCAAATAAATGTCATTATTTCCCAACTCTCAAGTTTAGACTCAGACAGAAATGAATGTTTTTGTCACAGTGTCAACAGGCAGAGGTGAAATGTGCATGAACTGGATTGATCTAATGTGACGTCTATGTCAGGTTGTTGGTGTTAGTTATTGCGTTTTGACCAATCGGGAAACAGATGTTCAACACTGGGAGTAATAAGTTATTTATTTATGCAGAAGTTTTACAGACTAATGTAAGAGACTTATTTACATGCAGGAGATACTATTTAATCCTGAAATTAAAAAAAATATATATATACATATAATCAATACAGAGCAAAAAAAAGAAAAAAGTTGTGCAAAATTAAAACTCATGTGCAGACGATCAAAAAAAGTTACAAATCTTAAATTTTTTATAACTGAGCTTAAAGTCCCCCATTCACACTTTTTCCCCTGAAAGCAAAATCAACATTGTTGTTTATATTTTAACTTTGAAATGATATTTTTAAAAGATTTTAGTGTTGTTAACAGTTTCGATTGTTGTAAAGTACTTAAGCTAAAGTGAAGAACCGGACCTGAAAGTCTGAAAGTTAAGGCGCTCGTGTGAAATTCAAACATTCAGTTCCGCTCATATGTTGAAGTTTAGATATTTACATTTGAAGGCCCCAAATTTGAGTCGTTGTTTTTCCTCTTGACTTTTAGTATCAGATCCTGTCAGTCAGTAAAATCCACACACTGATGGACGCTACCTCAACATTTTCTTTAGCCTTTAACCCTAAAACCTCCGAGTGACCACAGAGTCGACGTTTCCCTGCTGGATTCAAATAAACTTGCATTGTTTCTGTGCACAAACAACTTCCTGCATGCAGACATGCAGCTTGTTAACGGGGGCGGGCAACCCCCCCAAAAAAGACCTCTCTTCCTGCTACTGACCTCCAACCCCATCCTACCCCACCCACACCACCGCTTACACAGCATGGTGCAGCTATAGGGGGGTGGAGGGATGGCGTTAGGCTTTAATGTGTGTGTGTGTGTGTGTAGGCAGAGGTGATGGGAGGTTTTTCGACCGGGGGGGGGGACGGGACTTGTGTCCTGTTCAGAGGGAGTTGAGGAATAAAGTGGAAGGGGGAGGAGAGGGAGAGATGAGGAGACCTGCTGAGAGGGCAGCCTATATACAGTCCTCCTCCTTCCTGCTATACCTCTCCCTCCATCCCTCGCCTCTTTTCACCCTCCTCCCCCTCGGTCTCCCTCCGTTGGGGCAAAGTACATTACATGCTTGCTAATCAAACCTCCATTACAAGTTTGGAGCAAGAGAGTGGAGTCCTCTCCTCTTTCTGCCTCTTTCTGCTCACTCCTCTGTGTCTGCTTCATCTTCTCCAGCTTCACCTGAACTTTTCTGCACTTTTTGATAGTACACAACATGAGTGCGTGTCAATGCAACCATACACTGGATATCCAGAGGTACAGAACAGCACATATACAGATATCTGTATATGTGCTGTTCTGTACCTCTGGATATCCAGTGTATGGTTGAAGCACCAAACGAGGCTAAAATGGCTAAAATGTCAGCATGTTAATTTGACATCAGATCTGATCTGGAGAAACTGAGATCTGCGTGTCCTAACGTAACCTTTGAGACAGGAACTTTGACCACAAGTGAAGTGAAACTGTAGTACAGCTGAGGTACAGCCTCTGAGATTTGTCATGTTTAAGTCCCACCCATCGCCCCCGAATGAGCATTTTTATCTTATGGCCAATGGAATCATTATAAAAGCGTAACAGCTGACTGGCAGAGAAGAGAAACTGTCAAACTTATGTTTTTTCCCCCCTAAATAATCTTCATGTGGCTGAAAATATGTTTCCATCTCATTATTTGTGCTATTCTGAACAACTCATTCAGATTCTCGTACATACAGAGCGAACGGCACTGGAACAGCCTCATTATGCGCCGGGACATGAATATGGGTCAGTGAGCTGACGAACCTGATGACACCGAGCCAAGTTGTTGCACCGGAGGAGGAGGAGGAGGAGGAGAGTATGAGCAGTGTGTGATAACTCAGGTGGAGGACGAAACAAGAGAGAGATGTTCTCAGAGGGACACACTGAAACCTGAGAGAGGAGAGTGGCCAGAGAGAGAGAGAGAGAGAAAGAGAGAGAGGGAGAGAGAGGGGGACAGGGTGTGTGTCTTTGTGTGTGCGTGTGTGTGAGTTTAGATGAGCGATGAATAGACAACGCTTGTCCTCAAGTCAAAGAGCTCCAGTGGCTAAAACCCCATCGGGCACCAGTACAGACACACACACACACACACACACACACAGGGGGACAGGTGATACATCATGTATGTGAGAAGGAGGAGGGGAAGCTTGAGAGTGAGAGAGAAAAGAAAGGATGGACGGATGAGAAGGAGGTGAAGTAAAGGGGGGAGTGGTTTGATGGGGGGACTGGCTGAGTGGGGGAGCAGTAAAGAGCGGAGGATCACAGATTATTCAGTTCAGTTTATTCATGATGAAATGATCAAACGACAGTCAGATTGTCATGTATCTCCCTGTAGGAACTCAAGCCTCATTGCTGTCGAGTACAGTGATGTTTCCTTTCCAGCTGATACAGAGTCAAGTATTTTGAGGGTTAAAGTCATGTGACTCAGCTGTATTTGACTTGAACTAATAACATGTCAGACGACACAAAAACACACCAACTTGAACATCAAAACACAAAAACATCAACAGGTTGTGACATTCAAAAACAAACCGTCAATATAAGCTCGGATAACACAATCGATCTCATGTCACAGACCCGTACAGAAACTACAATTAACCGATAAAAAATTAAGATCAAGTCAAATAAACAAAGACACAAGGACTAAACAACTCACATGAAACAATATAAGTCTCTGTCAAGTCGCAAAATCACCATCATCATATGAGTCACAACTCATCAGCTGATTCATCCTCGTAGTTTTAAAGCTTGGAGGCAGGAGTGAAAGAAGTTTAAATGACACTTTTAAATTACACTTTTTTGCCGTTTTTAAGACCTTTTTTTCTTCATGTATTTTATATCGCTTCAATAAAAATATACCCTTTAAATCAGGGGTGTCAAACTCAACCACAGTAAGGGCCATAATCTGGATTTAGGTCTAACCTGAGGGCCAAACAGGGTCAACATTTCACCAAAACTGTCAACCTCCTTTTCAAAAATATGTAACAAAAACAGCAACGATTATAAATCATTTGGAAATTCAAAAAAGATAAAAAGATAAGTTTAAAGGCAATCTGGGATATAATTTTTTTAACTCTTTTTTTATCTATTTGTTCAAAAGATCAGAGGATGATATTAACAATAGAAAAATAATGCTTTCAAAGAGCAAACACATGAGGAGAACGTTGAAATCAGGTTTAAAAGGTCAAAATATGACTTGAAATGTAAAATTGGAATCTGAAGGATAAAAATGACACAAGTTTATATACTGAGTTGATCAAAATCAAAGCATGAAATAAAAAATCCAATCATGTTTGACTTCTAATCCTGAAATGCAAAATTGAAAACATGAAATAAAACACCAAATATTTTTCGCCCACATTCTTGACTTTCTATTAAATCTTTCTTACTGTTTAATTTCCCTGATTTTTGTGGTTTATTAGGGACATTTTAAATAATAGTGCTAAAGTTTACATTATTATACTGGAGGAAATCTGCAGACTTCATACTGGTGGACCAGTAATGTATGATATGATCTTGTGGGCCAGATATAATTGTTCCACGGGCCAGATTTGGTCCCTCTGTAAAGGCAGGAGCACCTGGCTGCAGGTACACTTGAGCCTAACATGAACATGTGCACGGATGGACTGCTTCAATCTCAGCTGTTATTGGAAAATCAAACCAAGCGTGTACAAAAACTGACTGACAATATTCTTGCTCTAAATATCTGAATGGATTATAATCTTTGCTGTTTATGATATTAAACCCCGAAAGTCTGTTAACCCTAAAAATCCTTGAATACCTGTTAACAGCTGCGACTGAGGCTGTATTTATTGAAAATCGTCTCCACTGTAGCTCAAAGTCTCGCTGCGGTGAGTTGAGAAGGGGGAGGAAGCGAATGATGGACAGCTAGGAGGAGGGAAAGGGAGATGGAGGGATGGAGGGAGGTGTATAGTGCAGCAGAAACTTCCCATGCTGGCCTCCCAGTGTGGCTACGTAATGAGGGCAAGGGACACAGAGATACACACATACACACACACACACACACTTACAGACACACTCACACTGGCGGACACACACTCGGGGCTGAGCATGGCCCCACGGCTGATTAGCGGCACACAAAGGCCCCAAACAGAAGTAGCAGAGGACGCACAATGGGAGCAGGGCCTCAAGGCGTGGTTTACTTCTGCCCCGAGGGAGGGGGGCGAGAGAGGCAGAGATACAGGCAAAGAGAGAGAGAGAGAGAGAGAGGGTCCCACTGAGCTGGACAGGCAAACGAACGGGGGGATGGAAGAGGGTTCGCTGGGGTTAGAAAAGTGACAGAAGAAGAGAGTTTTGTCTTTGTCCTGATGAAGACGTGCTGAGTTTACTCTCGGTTCTGTTTGCAGCAGAGTGCAGCTTCAGGAAACTGGATGTCAGGGTCACTGCTGCTTCTTCTCTGTCCCGTTTAGAGAGTCAAACTGGAATCATTAAACTTTGTGTATATTTTAAGGACACACACAACATTTACATGATGGTCAGAAAAATATATTTATTACTGTAAATGAAACATGCCTCCTCAAATGCACATATACATGGTAGTCTAACTGCTCATAGTTGGACTAAAATATCTGGATAATGTGGTTCGGGTTTGTCTTTCTCTGTCATACAGCTCGACCGAACTGAAACTGATGTGGAGCACAAACTTGGACAAGGACAGTCGTCCAGTTAAATCGACTGATGGAGCTGTAACCGAAGCTCGACCTTACTGTGCATGTAGACACACTGATAAAAAAGATATGGTAAAGATATAGTTGGTCTTAGGATTGATGGTCTTGTTTGCTTTTTTAAGTCACAAAGAAAATCGATATTAATACGAATGTAATCTGGCTTTTAATTGTCTACTTGTGTTAGGGCTGGGCAATAAACCAAAAATTTACAGATACCGAAATTTACAGCAATAGCCAACGTCATTTTGCCCATGTCAATATATTCTGTGTTAAATAAATAAGTAAATAAAAGTTGTTTTTGGATGTGTGTAGGTAGGCTATGGTCTCATGTCCCTTTAAGATGCTGTCCTACGTCAGAGACGTGACTCCACCCCATCCAGTCTGTAACAAAGAGGGAAAGACAGGTGAGGAGATGGAGGACGGTTCAAAAGTTGTAGCGGCTGAAGTAGACGAAGTTAACAGGGTAGGGGGTGAGCAGCTTGTGGAGTAGTTATCATCCATTTATCGTTATCAAGTGAACTGCTCAATATATTGTGATATTGATTTTAGGCCATATCTCCCAGCCCTAGTTTGCGTCCATTGTTTAGAAAGTGGTGTCATTTGCTCTTACAGGTGATAGAGACACCTCACTGTGTATTTCAGCTTTTTCAATCTCTGTCAGAAACTGCTCACATAAGCTTTCAACATGGAGTAAGTTAACCTGAAGCTTATATATTTGGAGCTTCTCTAAACACAAACTTTAGTATGTCTGTAGATTTGACACGGATACTTCCAAAAGGATGCAGGAAAGCTTTTGGGAAACAACAACGTTGATCGAGATCTAAGTGTAGTCCTATTTCCATACTCACAAAACCACCAACATTGATGTTTTTCTGAATTCATTATACGTTCATTATAGTTCAGGTTTTCTTTAAAAAGAAGATACAGAGGACGCAGGAAAGAGTGCAGCCCCAAACTGGCCATGTGTCAGGTAGTAAATGTTTGAGTTATTGCTACCACAGCACATGTCGAGAGCTTTAAAATCATCCCAGCAGCTCTTGGCAGAGATTAGCATCTACATATTTCTTCAGAGAATGAATATTATATGGCAACCACTAATGAACACGGCCTTCTTTTCACAGAGGAGCGGCGCCCACTGTAATCTCCACTGTTCAATTAGCTGCACTGACCGCGACGCCACCTACACTTCATTAACACGGAGGGGAAGGTATGGAATTAACCTCCCTCCTTCTCTCCTTCCCTCTGTTTGTCTTTTTCATTCTTTTCATCCTCTCATTTCTCTTATTTCTGATGAAACATTGTCAAAATAACTGTGTCCTCATCTGTTTGGGAATTGTTTTTCCTTGTTTTACCTTTGAAACCGGAAGCTACTAGAATAATTCGGCACAACAGAGAAGAAAAAAAAGGGGAAAAGGGGGGCGGGGGACATAAATCCACAAAGACAATTTAGCTTTTCTGCCTCTTTTCCTGTTTTTCCAATTACTTAATGCTATTTAAATACACCAGAGCCCACACACACACACACACACACACACACACACACACACACACACACACACACACACACACGCACACACACGCACATGCACATGCACATGCACATTAATGGTCCTCAGCCATG